AACTACAACTAGAAGGAGCCATTGGGTGAATCCATATTGTAGAATTAGTGCAGTTAGACATCACTTTAACTGCCATGGCTCAATGCTATGGAATTCTGGGATTTGTAGTTTGGGGAGGCACCAGCATTCTTTGGCAGAGAAGGCTAAAGACCTTGTAGAACTACAACTCCCACCATTCCTTTTGTAGGCATTACAACACATTGTTGTGATTCCAACTAGAAGGGGAGTTTGCTTAGCCAGCAGTTATTACAAAATACTGACCATCCTACAAACTAAATAAAAATCTTATCTCTTTCAGGAAGATAAACATTTCACAAGAAGAGTTGTGCAACCAAAGTTGGGATTCTTGTTGCCTTTTTCAAATAATATTGATGTCTTCCAAAATTTACTATCACCTCCTTTTTAAAAAAAAAAAAAGGAGAGGAAAACAATGGAAATGTATTCCTATTTCTTTTTAAATTGCCACAAAATTCAGTTCCTGTATGCATGAAAGAACAGCACTGTGTGTTTGGGGAAAAGCTTAAAGGGGGGAAGGCTTAAAGGGAGAAGAGGTTTATAGTAGAACAAAGCCCCTTATTTTCTAAGGCATTCAAGCCTCCTGTTGATCTTATCACACCATTTATCCCTCTCGGCAGCTAGGAAATAAGCAGAGGTTGCAAACCTTACTTTATCAGACCTATACATTCCATAATTATCCAGCCAACGTGTTGCTAAGTGGGAATTGTCATCCAAAAAAGTAACTTCCATAAAAATACTTCTAGCAGTAACAAGACCATAAGGAAGGCAGAGCTAAATGTTAGTATTTTGAATTATTGTGCACCCTGGAGTGCCTTGTAAGCCACCCTGAGTCCCTTCAGGGAGATGGTGGCAGGCTATAAATAAAGATTATTGTTGTTGTTGTCATTTCTGAGGTAAAAATGCAATCTTGTTTTCTCTTAAGAGTTTTTTTTAAAAAAAATAACAGGAGTGCATCCACACAGAATGAATGCAATTTGATACTACTTGGAACTGCAACTAAAATGATCGACTAAAATGATCAAGGGTCTGGAGAACAAGCCCTATGAGGAGCGGCTTAAAGAGCTGAAGAAGAGATATGATAGTCATGTATAAATATGTGAGAGGAAGTCACAGGGAGAGGAAGTCACAGGGAGCAAGCTTGTTTTCTGCTGCCCTGGAGACTAGGATGCGGAACAATGGCTTCAAACTACAAGAAAGGAGATTCCATCTGAACATGAGGAAGAACTTCCTGTGAGAGCCATTCAGCAGTGGAACTCTCTGCCCCAGAGTGTGGTGGAGGCTCCTTCTTTGGAAGCTTTTAAACAGAGGCTGGATGCCATCTGTCAGGGGTGATTTGAATGCAATATTCCTGCTTCTTGGCAGGGGGTTGGACAGGATGGCCCATGAGGTCTCTTCCAACTCTTTGATTCTATGATTCTATGCTATGCTCTGGAATCATGGGAGTTGTAGTTTGGTGAAGCACTGGCACTATTTGACAAAGGCTAAAGACACTATAAAACTACAAATCCCAGAACTATACCAGTTCAAACGGTGTTGAACTGCATTGATTCTACAGTGTAGATCAGGCCTGTGCAAACTTTGGCCCTCCTGGTGTTTTTGGACTTCAGCTCCCACCATTCCTAACAGCCTCAGGCCCTTTCCTTTTGAAATCCAAAACACGAGGGCCAATGTTTGCCCAGGCCTGGTGTAGATGCACTGGAAGACACCCATCCAAAGTTTTTTTTTCCAGACAAGGGAGTCTAGACACAAGGGAGTTAGTCATACAATGTGAGGAATTGGCCTCAGACATACCTGACCACAGGATCCCTCCTGAAACAACAGCATTTCCTCCTAAGTGAAGTATTTTTTTCTCTCAACATGCAGATGGAGTTTACATTTTACAGCCCTTTGTCTGAGTCCAAAAGGAAATGGCACCCTGAGATCTCTCCAGACCAAAGGAAAAAAGACAGAAAAGGCATGCAGGCTTATAGGCCTGTGACTCCAACACCATCACTTTCCTATTCTTCTCCAATTTGAGTCTTTCACATCTTTTGCCTGATGATGAAGAAGCCAGTGGAGTTTTGAAAGCTTGCATAGTTTTGTGTGCATTTTGCTTGGCCAACACATGGATCCCTCTTTAGTGGATATTATTTCACTCTATGTAATGTTTGCACTTTTAAAAAAAACTTACCTGCCATAGTTTTCATCTAGCAATATGGGATTTGTGGTAGAGCGAGACACAGTTTTTTGTAGACAAGTGTAATTACCCCAGAAAAATACAAACCCCATGGTTTTATAGGATGCTTTCGAATGATTCAAACTTTGTTTCATCCACATAGTTTAAAGCATTGCATAAATAACCTTCATGTTCTGTGTATACAATACATAAAATCAGTTCATCTTTGGACCCAAGTCCCATCTCCAAGATATCTCTATGTATATGCATGTATTCCAAGTCCTGAACAAATCCAAAATCCTAAACAACTTCTGATAAGGAATACTCAACCTATAACAAAGAGTGATTCTGTGTCCTTCCCTCTTCTGTGCCATTCCTTGGAAATGGGCATCTATGGGATCTGCTGCTTTGCACCCAATCTTAGGGTGCATCTACATTGTAGAATTAATGCAGTTTGACACCACTTTAATTGGTATGGCTCAATGTGATGGAACCTTGTAGAGTTCAGTGGTTGGGCCTCCAGGTGCTTTGGACTTCAATTCCCATATTTATAGAATCATAGAACCAAAGAGTTGGAAGAGACCTCATGGGCCATCCAGTCCAACCCCCTGCCAAGAAGCAGGAATATTGCATTCAAATCACCCCTGTCAGATGGCCATCCAGCCTCTGTTTAAAAGCTTCCAAAGAAGGAGCCTCCACCACACTCTGGGGCAGAGAGTTCCACTGCTGAACGGCTCTCACAGTCAGGAAGTTCCTAACAGCTGGTACACTCACTTGGATTCTGGGAGCTGAAGTCCAAAACACCTGGAAGTTCAAAAGTTGGGAACCATTGCTGTAGTTTAATGGGAGCCCTGGCATGCTATGCACAGAAGGCTAAAGACCTTATAAAACCACAACTCACAGAATCCCAGAGCATTGAACCATGGCAGCAAGTTGTGCCAAACTGCATTAATTCTAAAGTGTAGATGGCCTTCTAGAGTGGACAGGCGTGGAATTCAATCCCTCTGAGAAAAATGGAACCTAAGGCAAAAGAATGAGAAAGAACGTAGTTACCCAAGGAGGCGTTTCTGCAGAATTACTTCCTCCTGGAATCCCCCCAGCTCACTTTCTGGGCATCCTAAACTTTAAAAAGTAACTTTCCAAAGCTCAGCCCATTTCCTCCCAAGCTTTCTTTGTTTCAGTCAGAGGTAAATGGATTAACCAAGCACTTAAAAAAAAGAAAACAAAAGGAACATTTATATTTAGGATTCATGCCCTTCCGGACAAAGTTGCCCTTCTCCCCCTTTGAATTTCCAAAATTCCAAGCAACTCTGATCGAGATGGTGTTATTACTTTAATTTAGATACTTATTATATATTTTTTCCAGCAATATAATTGTACCATTTGTAAGGGGGAAAGGGTCACTGCAACAGTGGTTTCCTTTGAACCCCATTTCCTTCATTTCAGTGGCAAAACTTGCAACTGTTTCTAACAAAGGAGAACAAGAGAGGCTTAGAGCACAGGGGAAAGAAAGGCCTGGATTGAGGATCTACTCCAGCCCTTTGGAGGAAATGCAAAAACTCCAGGCTTGCAACAAAATACAAAGTGTGGTTTGCAACTTTGCAAGCTACCCAGAGGAAAAAAAAATATTTGCATAATCTCTTCTTTGGAATCCACTTTCGTGCAAGTAAGCCAAGGCAATTGGAGACTTGGAATATTTGAATTCTTTGGATGATTGAAAGAGAAAGAAAGTTTCAAGTTTGCAACTTTACATTCACTTTCCTGTGCAATAAGGCAGGAATTTGGAATATCTGAATCCTGACCAAGATTGCAGGGGAAAATATTTACAACTTCCAAAAACTATTCAGAAGGAAAGAAATCAAACTATCCCAAGTTTTCCATGCATAGTTTTCCCAAGAACGACTGGCCCTTTTGATTATCTTTGAATTCTTAAGAAAGAATCTACACTGGAGAAGTTTTAGCAAGTCTTAAACCTTCTCTGCCTAATAGTTTCTCAAACTACAACTCCCAGGTTTCCATAGCACTGAGCCAGGGCAGTTAAAAGTGGGGTCAAACTGCATTAACTCTACAGTGTAGCTGCACCCTAGGTTGTACAAAGGAGCCTGCTTTCTTTCTTTGGGCCTCATGATTGCTCCTTCTACACTGCCCTATATCTCAGGATCTGGTCTCTAATGTTAATGTTGTTCATTCGTTCAGTCGTCTCCGACTCTTTGTGACCTCATGGACCAGCCCACGCCAGAGCTCCCTGTCGGCCGTTACCACCCCCAGCTCCCTGATGTTAATATTTCCTTTAAACTGGATTATATGAGTCCCCACTGCCAGATAATCTGGGATAAGATGGTAATCTGGGGTACAGGGGCAGTGTGGAGGGGACCTAAGAGACCTCATCACACTAGAGAATAAATCCACTTTAAATCCAGTTGCTGCCTCCTGCAGAATTCTGGGATTTGTAGTTTATGGAAGAGTCTTTAACAGCCTCACTAAACTACAAACCCCAGAATTCTGCAGGAGGCAGAAACCGGATTTAAAGTGGATTCATTCCCTAGTGTGATGAAGTAGCTCTAGGACTCCAAATTGCCTTTCTCTGGAAAGTGGATACAAGATGGAAGACTGTGCATTTATTACTATTGGTATTAATAGAATCATAAGCTGGAAGAGACCCCTAAGGGCCACCCAGTCCAAGTTTTTGGCATGCAGGAACACAGGCTCAAAGCACTCCCGACAGATGGCCATCCAACCTCTGCAGTAGTAGTATTCCTGGGTTTGTTTGCAAAGCGTGCATGCACCCCAAGAAGGCGGGCTTCCTCTCCCCTCTCCCTCCACGAACCTGTTGCAGCTCGTTGGTGAAATAGAGGAAGGTGATGGCGACGCAGATAGACTGCAGCAGCACCGCGAAGATCAGCACCAGGCTGCAGGTTTGCCCAGCGCTGGGCCCGCCGCCAGAGGAGGAGAACATCATGCTGGAAGGGAGAGGCGGAGGAGAGGGGCAGCAGCAGTAGCAGCAAGGAGAGGAGGCATCCGGGTCTCTCGGTGTGTGTGTGTGTGTGTTGTGTGTGGGGCCTGTGGGGCCAGGCACACAAAGAGCGGTTGTTATGAGCCTGTGGAGGTGGGGCAGGGCTGCCCCAAGTCACCCTCCGCCCTCCCCTTTTCTCCTCCCTCTGGGTTGGCTTTGGAAAGAAGGAAGGAAGGGAGAGGGAGGAAACAGAATCTCAAAAGAGGGAACTGGAAGGCAAGCTCAGCCAGGCTTGTCTGCACTGACCCTTTCATGCTGGTTCAAACTACAGCAACCAAACAACAAACTCCCATGAAAGTGCTCAAAACAAAGGCCAGTTTGCATCAGTGGTTTGTGTCATCACCTACCTGCCCTCAAACTGGTTATGTTTATCCCACCAGAACACTTTTCTCCATACCAGTTTGAAACTGCATTAAATGGTTGGTGTAGATGGTACCGTAAAAGGTACATCTTTATGTTGTAGAGCAGTGGTTCTCAGTCTTCATAATTCCGCAACCCCTTAATATAGTTCCTCATGTTGTGATGATCCCCAACCATTACATTATTTTTGTTGCTACTTCATAACTATAATGAAGTATCACAGGGTGTCTGCGCCCTACACCACTGGAGAAATTACACTGCTTAGCCGGTATTGCACCACCTGACATCCGCCAGGAAGTAGCAGCCAATAGTGAAAGGACCAAGGCAGAGACATCTCCAGCTCATCCCTTGTTTGGGTATCAGCCAGCATGTCAACGACTTAAATCAAGAAATAGTTTTCTTAGATCTACAGAGACACACGCTGGAACACCTCAGCAAGCGAGAGTTCAAAAGTGGCAGACTCAAACCCAGCACCTTAATTCGTGGGTGATATCAGATGAAAGACTCCCCCCGGGCACACAGAAGACTGGGCGACCTGGAAGGCGCTGAACAGACTGCACTCTGGCACCACGAGATGCAGAGCCAACCTTCAGAAATGGGGATACAAAGTGGAATCCACGACATGTGAGTGTGGAGAAGAGCAAACCACTGACCACCTGCTGCAATGCAACCTGAGCCCTGCCACATGCACAATGGAGGACCTTCTTGCGGCAACACCAGAGGCACTCCAAGTGGCCAGATACTGGTCAAAGGACATTTAATCAGCTACCAAGTTTGCAAAATTTGTGTGTGTTTTTTTTATCTGTTTGTTTGTTTTGTTCTGTTAGAAATGTAATACAATGTTCTGGTTGCAGATGACACGATAAATAAATAAATAAACTATAATTTTGCAACTGTTATTAATCGTAATGTAAATATCGGATATGCAGGATGTATTTTCATTCACTGGATAAAATTTGGCACAAATATCCAATATGTCCAAATTTGAATACTGGTGGGATTGTGAGGAGGATTGATTTTGTCATTTGGGAGTAGTACTTGCTGGGATTTATTGTCCCCTACAATCAAAGAGTATTCTGAACTCCACCAATGATGGAATTGAACTAAACTTGGCACACAGAACTCCCATGACCAACAGAAAATACTGGATGGGTTTGGTGGACATTGACCTTGAGTTTTGGAGTTGTAGTTAACCTACATCTGGAGAGCACTGTGGACTCAAACCATGATGGATCTGGATCAAATTTGGCACAAATCCTCAATATGCCCAAAAGTGAACACCGGTGGAGTTTGGGGAAAATAGACCCTGACATTTGGGAGTTGTATTTGCTGGGATTTATAGTTCACCTACAATCAAAGAGCATTCTGAACCCCATCAATGATAGAATTGGGCCAAACTTCCCACATGGAACCCCCATGACCAACAGAAAATACTGTGCTTCCTGATGGTCTTTGGTGGACTCTCTGGCACCCCCTCGCAACTCCCTCTCCCAGGGTCCCAACCTCCAGGTTGAGAAACTCTGTTGTAGAGTGAATGCAGTTTGACTCCACTTTAACTGCCTTGGCTCAATGCTATGGAATCCTGGGAGTTGTAGTTTAGTGAGACTTGGAATTGGCCACCACAATTGAAGGGAGATGTTGACAAGCTGGAATGTGTCCAGAAGAGGGTGACTAAAATGATCAAGAGTCTGGAGAACAAGCCCTACGAGGAGTGTTTAGCCTGCAGAAGAGAAGGCTGAGAGGAGACATGATGAGGGTCATGTATAAAGATGTGAGGGGAAGTCATGGGGAGGAAGGAGCAAGCTTGTTTTCTGCTGCCCTGGAGACTAGGATGCAGAACAATGGCTTCAAATACAGGAAAGGAGATTCCACCTGAACATGAGGAAGAACTTCCTGACTGTGAGAGCTGTTCAGTAGTGTAACTCTCTTGGTGGAGAGTTCCACTACAGTGTTGTGGAGGCTCCTTCTTTGAAGGCTTTTAAGCAGAGGCTAGATGGCCATCTGTCAGGGGTGCTTTGAATGTGATTTTCTTGCTTTTTGACAGGGGGTTGGACTAGATGGCCCTCGAGGTTTCTTCCAACTCAAAGATTCTATGAAAACTACCAACACTCTTGATCCCAAAGAGCTAAAGTGGTGTCAAACTGCATTGATTCTACAGTGTAAATGCATTCTGGGTTTACTTCTCCAGGAAGCCTGCGGACACCTTCCCTCCTCTGTGCAATTTCTTGGAAATGGTGTATCCACAGTATGGAATGAATGCTGATTGACACCATTTGAACTGTGTTGGCTCAATGCTACAGTGTGGTATTCTCAATCACTCTCTCTCTCTATGTAGATGATCTTAGTATTGGCTCCAGTCATATTTGCTACTTTGAGTACATCTACACTGCAGAATGAATACAGTTTGAAACCATATTAACTGTTCTGGCTCAGTGCTATAGAATCATGTAGGCTGACAGTAGGCTTCTTATGGGGTGCACGTTACTGTTTAACTTACATATATTTTTGAATGAATTGATACTGTTTTTAATTTACTACTTTGATTAGATTAATTGCATTTTTAAATGTTCTTGTTTTTGTGAGTTGCCTTGGTTTCCATCTTGGAAGAAAAGTGACAAAAAAGATTGACATAAATGAATACATTGAGGCCTACTGAACCTACAGCAAGAGCGGAGTAGATATCTTCATATTTGCCCTCTTTGTGCTCACTTGCCACATGTCCAAATCAGCTTGGAGGCACGGAGTGCAAAGATGTTTATTCAGTTTATAATCTCAGCATACAAACAATTTATCTTTTCCCTCCTCCAGATTCTCATAACACATTCTTGTTGACTTCATACATCTGATTAATTGGACTCTTGCCCCAAGAAAGCCGATGCCACCATTTATCTTTTGCTGATTTCGTAGAGGCTAATAGTGGTTAAATGCCTGGGAGAAAAGCTCTTGTATACAACAAGAAAATGAAAACATAAAAGTGGTGTTTTGGTGTGGGTTTGCCACATAGTTTGAAACTTACTCATTCCAAAAGCAGATGGAGAGGAAGGGTTTAAAAGAAATTTGTTTATTGTATTGTATTATCTGCTCAAGGGCACTAGTCCCCCTGGGCAGAGAAGGCAAAAGACTTGTAGAACTCTAATTCCCATGATTTCACAGCATTGGATTGTGGTAGTTAAAAGTATAAAACAATTTAGATGCACCCTTGAAGGTCTCCCATTCATGGAGTTGCCATCTGTCAAAACCAAATTGCAGACAGTTAACAACATGTCTCTGTCCAAAAGAGCAGGGCTGTAGATCAATCCTGGGCAAATTTCAGTCCTTCAGGTGTTTTGGACTTCAACTCCCATAATTCCTAACAGCTGTTAGGAATTGTGGGAGTTGAAGTCCAAAACACCTGGAGGGAGGGTCATAGTTGGCCCAGACCAGCTCTAGATGAATTCCGTCTTGACTAGGAAAATGAGAAATCTCTCTCTGCAGTTCTTGTTAGTGCTTAAAAATAATTTTCTGTTTCCTCAGGAGCACTTTGGAATCAATTAAATCTGATGATTAACCAAGCAAACACTGAAACTATACTTAATTTCTTGGGGTTTTTAAAAATTGCATTTATGATATTTTGGATTTGAATGTGCTATCTTTTAAATAGACTATCAATCAATAGCTCTGCTAGTTAGAAGTGATAACCATTAACTTTCTGCTAGGAATAAAAAATGTTTCCTGCATCTTTTATAATTGAGCTCACTCTTGTAGCTTTCAAATCTTGAACTGGTGCAATCCGTAGCCAGGATTTTGATTTGGGTGGGGGGGGGGGGGCTGAGTTTGATTTGGGGGGGGGCTGAGTCTGAGTGAAAGAGGGTCTACCCTAGCAAACCTTTTGTATCGTTACCCCAATACCCCCATGCATATGGGATATATTTAGTATGGTGATCAGATCATGATATGAATAAACATAACAGTTTAAATAATGCACCAGTAAGGCCTTCTCGCGGACCACCATGAGAATTTCGGGGGGGGGGGCTGAAGCCCCTCCAGCCCCCCCCCCCCCCCCGGCTACATGCCTGGTGCAATCCTGAATGAAAAATGGAAAACCTGACAAATTCCTGTCCCAAAATATCCTGAAATCCAGATGGCAACTTATGCTTCCATTGTCTTTTACCACTGGGTATGCTGGTGAGGTGTGATGGGATTTGCAGTCCAACATCTAGAGAGACACAAACCACTCTTATTCTTACCCTTGGCCTGTGCAGAGTACAGCATGGTAAGGCAGTTTATAATGCAGATTAATAGCATTGAACTTGATTATATGAGTCTACACTGACATATAATCCATTCTATGCTGTTAATCTGCATTCTGAAACTGCATTATATAGCAGTGTAGATGGGGTCTAAGTCCCATTGAATTCAATTGGACTTGCTCCTGAAATAACATTATAAGATTGTGCTATTAACATATTTTATTTGGTGGGGCAGCTGGTCTAGGAGATGGGGAGGCACCCACATTTCACCAAATAGACTCTAGTTGTCAAGTCTCGTTGCACTTTTCGGACATGAATTCATACAAGAATTTGCCTTAAGGGAAGAAGCATTGACGCCACTCACTTCTTCCCTTAGCATTGCTAAAAATTTTAGGTCAGTGCTTGCCTGTGAAGTGATCAATGAAAGGGACTCAAGAACAGTTCACAGATTGACATACCTCATGCATGCCTTCTTTTATGTTAATGTGATGCTTATTTTGCTCAGTGATCTTCCTTTGCTAGCA